CAGCGCCCCGCCGCCGCCGTCGGTAGCAGGGCTGGGAGCAGCGGGGCCAGCAGCAGGGCTGGCAGCGGCGGGGGCGACATCATACGTCTGCCCCGGGTCGTAGTTGTCATCGTCAAACTGGCCGAGGGAATCGGCGGCAGCGGCAGGGGGCGGGGCGGCGGGAGGGGCGGCGGGAGGGGCGGCGGGGGGGGGGCGGCGGCGGGGGGGGCGGCGGCGGGGGCATGGAGCCAATCCTGGAGACCACCTGACTCGAAGATCGTATTCATCGTCGACTCGACATTGTACAGCTTCTCCTTGAACAAATCGAGTACCTCTTTGGGAGGGTCGTCGTCGCCTTGGATGCCGAGAACGGATTTGAGCGCGTCCACGTTGTGATGATACTGAGGAAACACCTCTCGCTGAGCGGCCATCAATCACCAGGAAGGAGAAGGGTGCGCCACATGCGTTCGCCAAGTCGCCCGGCGACGCCATTCGCGCTGTCGCGAGCACTTCTCTAATCAAATCGGAAACGTTCGTACCTCGTTTTTTACCATAAAATGTTCCTTTCGTTCGTTCGCGAGAAGGATACCGGGAGAGGAAGAAATCTTTTTCTGTGCGCGTTGCCGCCTCCTTCTAGGCCACGATGGTCGCTCCATCCAGACGACCCCGGCCGCCATGAAGCAGGCGGTGCTCGACGCAGCCACTGGTGGCATGTCGCCGACATCGAAGGCAAAGTTCATCAAGTACCACTGCAGCGATTGCGGCGGCGACCTCATGGCTGGCGACGGCCCTGGCACTGACGTTACCGGTGCGTGGCGCAGCATGTCACGCAACAAGCACTGGACGAAGCAGAAGCTCGCCGAAGCGAGAGCCACATGGGTGCGGCCGAATGACGAGAAGACAGTCGTCACGGTGTGCACCGGAAGCAGGTGCCGCAAACCACTTCTCCCGACAGCGGAGCAGCTCGAGCGGATGCAAGAGCACAGTCTGACGATCAAGCAGGAGAGCGACGCGCGCGCGGCTGCGGCACGGCTCCCAGGCGACTTTGTCGATGCCGGCGACATCTTAGATCTGCTCAGGATGGGCATGTAGCGCCCAGAGACACGCGCGGAGCGCGCCGCTGCAGAACACGCGCGGAGCGCGCCGCTGCATGGGTAGGCGCGGAGCGCCGCCACTCGAGATTGGGCCTGTGGGTGGGCCGATTGGTTCCTAGCGTGTGAGTCAAACTCTTAATAGAAATCGCATCTAGCCCTCCACAACCCTCAAAATTTTCTTCGGGGCGCGCTCCGCGCGCGGCGCTCCGCGCCTACTCCTTGAGCGTCATAAGCACTGGTTCGCACATGTTCTGCAGCTTGGCGACGACGGACCACAAGTCGCGGCACTACTGATGCGCTCGCGCAGCTCGCGACGCGCGCTGCCCGGTGGAGGGCGCTGGACCTGGAGGGCACGTGGCACAGCCAGACGGCGAGTCTTCCACACACACATGACAAAGCATTTGGGCAATATACAAAAATCGTAACGTAGAGTCCTTACGTATACTAGCTTCTACCGCGGCCGACGGCGCCCAGGCGCCAGGGCTCAGCTGACAGAGACGTGACTCGTGAGAGCCGCGCGTGGTGTGTGCAGACGGAACCACGGAAGGCGCAGGGCAGCGGGCAGAAATCTATGCAGGTATTGGCGCGGTGCGCGCACTCACAAAGGGGCCACATCAGTCCGCTGCAGCGCGCAGTGCCCCCTTCTTCAGCTCCGCCACCTGGTCGAGCGCGTCGCCGAGCAGCCCCTTGGCCACGCCCAGGTCGCGCAGCTGCTCCACGCCGCCGCTCGCCCGCACCTCGGCGGCGTGGTCGGCCACGTAGCGGCGGCACTGCGCGAGGAGCCGCCCGTCGCCCATCGTGTGCGCCGCCTCGAGCAGCGGCACGGCGGTCGCCGGCGCGACGCTCTCCTGCAGCGCCTGCGCGCAGAGCAGCTCGAGGCGCGGCACCTGGTACATCTGTGCCAGCTCCCGCAGGTCGAGCGCGCGCTGCGCCCTGCTG